CGCTCTTCCAAGCAAGTGCAAAGGAAGGAAAACCGCTACCGGGTGGTGGCCAGTCATCGACCCAGCTGTGCTGAGCCTGCTGCACCTGCCAGACAGGGCGAGGGGAAGGCTGATGGTGACAGGGGAGACTCTGGAGCAAGGGAAGATGCTTCACCAAAGGAGGGCGGTGCTGTGGATGAGGGCTCGGACTGCCGTGGAGAATTCCAGTTGTTTGATATCGTACAAGAAGAGGAGGTGGTGGGAGACTCCAGTGTGACTGCTGCAAACCCACAGGTCAGCAGGTGAACTTAGTGTCCTTTAGATGCTTTCATATGGCTTGGCTGGTACATGTGGGCAAACTGACTGCAGTAGAAGCTTTTTTTGCCTTGTAAGTATTCCACTAGGTAATAGAGCTTTAACTAGGTATTTTTAAGTTGGAACAGTTAATACAGGAAGTAACTTCCATGAAGATTCTGAAGTGTTGTAAGGTTGTTGAGAAAGCCAGCCATGTGGAGTTGTCCTTTACCTCCCTGTTTTTCCTGTACCCTGTTCTGATGTATGAGTTCTCACACTCCTCTGTCAGGTGGATCTCTCAGGATTTTTATTAACTACTCTACCTAGAAAAAGAAACAAATTAACTCAGTGTCTTCTCATCCACGCAGATTCCTAAGAATGTCACTTGTAGGACAGACTCACTAAAATGAAAGATACTTTTGACCTTCCCCTTTCCATAATTCCAGTATCTGTGTTCATTGTGTGTTTTGTTTTTAGCAGAACTCTAGGTGTCTGGCAGGCTGCTTAAGTCCCTACCTCCTGTTTTCATTGGCATTACGAGTTAAGTCTGTTTTCAGTTGGAGGAGTATCTGCCCAATATCTAGGATGCTTTAAAGTATGAAGAAGTTCTGCCTTCTGTGCAGGGCTGCCCTGCATACAGAGTGTTAAGATTTTGTATTAGAGACTTGTAACCCTATGGAAAAGAAGGTTAGAGGACTGTGTGTGCTTCCTTTAGTAGTTGCATCACTCATCACTCCTGTACCCCATCACAGCTGAGGGAAACTGAAATGCTTAAAGAAGGGGCTGCTTGGGTGAGGAGGAGCCCCATCAGCTGTCACCCTTCGGTGTTTCTTGTAGTTTATTTCAGGGCTTTGCTGTCAAAGTTTTGTATGAATCCTTATTTTCTATTAAGGTATGGCAAGTAGTTCAGACATTTTAGATCAGTTAGTTAACTATTATCACTGCTGATTAGAAAAACAGAAATGAAACTTCAGGCAGCATCTCAATTTTCTTACTCTTTTAGAGCTAACAGTAGGTGTTGACAGCAAGAAGTAAGCTTTCTCTTTATTCTGCAAGTATTTTAGGAGTGAATAAAAGGCTGGTCTCTACCTTTTCCTTGGAATTACTTAAGTAGCTGAGGAGACACTACTGTGAATTGGAAAAGATGTTCTGAAAAGCTGAAGCAGAGAAAAATTTGCAGCAAGAACCTGTGCTTGTAGACCTTCAAATACAGGTCACTAAAGAAAACACTGCAACTATTTTTTTAGGAAGGAGAAAGCATGAAGAAATTTCTTCTGCCTTGATATTGAAGTGAGGAAATAAATAAAAAGCCTAGCTCTAGGGCCTGCCAGTCTTTTCCTTTTGATCTGTTGCATTTTCATTGTTTCTCCTGTGCACTCTGTAATCTATTTGCATATGATCCGTGCTACTTCCTGCACATCCTTCCTGCAGTGTTGCCAGTGTAATGCCCTGCAAAGCACAAGGGCTGTAAACTTGTCTCTTTAACCAGCATGTCATCAGAAACAGATGAACAATTCTACAGGATTAGTCATATCCTCTTCAATAATTTCTAATGAACCTGTCCAAAACATGTTCTCCTATTATATGAAACAAGGCATGACTTCAGTGTAACTTCCATGTGTATGGCTTCAATGAAAATATGCATTCTTATTTATTTTTTCTTAGCAGAAGACTGATCCTGATGTGATTCTTTGCAATGCAGTAGAGATGATCCGTGAGCGTTTAAATGTTTCTGAAGATGGTAAGAAAGAAGAGAAAGTTGATGATTATGTTTATGATATCTACTATATGGAAACATCAGTCCCTGGTTGGATCCAGGATATCCTTTCTGTGCAGCCCTATAGAGAAGAATATGAACTGGTAAGGGTGTGGGAAAGCAGATTTTCCTGAAGTAGAAAGGTCATGAATTAACATGCTTGAAGTCCTATCATTAGAATTTGACATGCCCAGAAAAATAATTTGAAATACGTTTATGTTCAGTGACTTCTGTAAGGCTCTTTGTAACTGCCAATCGTGTGTTCCTCCATGTTACTAGAGGGATAATGCTCATGTTCTCAGGAGAATCTGTCTGGCTTCAAATTGCCAAATGAATTTTGGCACACAAGTGTAAACTTATTTCATGTTGACTAGGAGGCAGTGATAGTTGTAAATATGGTTGAGTGGAAAAAGGAGCAAGGAGTGACATGGAACTTTTTCAGTATTTGAGAACTTTTATCCTGATACAAGATGTTTTCCTGTAACAGCCTTCAGTGATTGTGAAGTTAGGAAGTTAAATGTAAGCTTTAGTCTTCCATTGTATAGATGCTGCAACCAACAGACTTTCATATCAGGAACATGAAGCTACTTTTCCTTTTCCTTGACCTATTTGACCACTGCTGAAATGAAAAATATGATCTGGATAGTATTGTTTAGTATTGTATAGGTGCCTAAAAACTGCTTAATCCAACTATATTTATGATTAAAGTTATGTGTTGACATGCAGGTGGATGATGATCACGTTCCAGGGGAAATATATGAAGATGAAGATGATGAAAATGATGAAAATAACTGGCGTAATGATTATCCTGATGAAGACGATTTCTTACCTGAGGAAGATGGTGATGGAGAAAAAGGTATGCCTGTAAAAAAAACAAACTGTTTGCTTTCATGCTGTGCACATAGAAAGCCTGTCATTTTTTACATGCTGTCTTTAAAAAAGCAATGGACTGAGCACTGCTGGGATAGTCTTCTGCTCTGGGTTAAATCTGCTTAGAGAAGCATCATGTTTCTTGGAACTACAAGGGATCTTTGTATTTTTGCAGTCAAAATTAAGAAATCCATTTCAGGCTGCTGCAATTGCAAAGGATTGCTTGTTTTGAGATGGAATAGATGACTTGGTTCCATGTGCTTGTGAACAATACTGCCTCTGCTTTCTTAACTCCCCATCCCAAGCACAGCGCACTCCAAGCACAGTTTAAATCTCACAGAAGTTGTTCAGATGTTGTATTTGTTAAAGTAGTTACTCCAGAAGCTTAAAATAGTCTGACTAACTTAACTGTTTAAGTAAAAAGAAGGGATAATTTAAAATGTTGGTGCTCACCCTTTAGAGTCTGAAGAGAGCCTCAGTGATGAGGAGCAATGTTACAGGAGAAGAACATGGAACAAATACCGAGAGGAGGTTCTGCAGGAGTTTGGATACGATGAGGTCCAGGATTTGGATTCTGACTAACAGCCCTTTTCTGAAGATGAAATGCAAAGCCATCACTGGCTATTTGTAAGAATGATGAACTAAACCAAAGAACAAAACAAAAAAAACCTGCCATAAAAACAAACGAACCAACCTCTGGAAAACCACTTTTTGGTAAAAGTTGTGCGCATTGGGACAGTAGGAAACCAGTCGTTACATGGGTAAGGTTTAAACTTAATTTTTGCCAGTCTGGCCTTCTGAAAATGTTGGTGACTAGCATGGTGCGCCTTAATGCTGACTAGGCTTGAATATTGATGACTAGACTTGGGTTCCAGTAAATGCTAAAACCTTGAACTATGTGAACTGTAACTCTCATATACTAAACAGATGAGTGTCAATATGCAACTTGACAATACCATTTTTTATTCCAAGCAAAAGACACTTACATGCTTTAAAAAAGATTTTTCCCCAGTCGGGATGCTGAGGTTTTGAAAGAATTTTTTTCCTCCTAAAGGTGCATATCCAAGCATTTGTACCTGTTCTGCAAGTACCTCCACACTATATATGCGGGTGCTGTTGGCAGCAGCCCCTCTTGTCATGACCAATGTGTCATTTTTCACAAGATGATGAACATGTCTGCTGTGATGGTGACTGGAAGTCCTGGAAAAAGGCAGTCTGTCCTAGTGCTTTCTACTGTAGTTGTTCCTGAGTTTCAAGTTACCTTCTCTACAAGTATGGGAGCATGTGAAAATGCCTTGGCTTGTCCATTATATTTCTGGATCTCTCTCCAGTAATTTTACTATTGGAGTAGAACAGTATATATGCATTTAAATTGTAAATAAAGAATTTTTAACTAATTTTTAACTAATTTTTCCTTAATCTTGCCTGTTTGCACACACAAAGTATTTCAGCACTCTCCTCTTTGAGTCTGTAAAAAATGGCTAACGGGATGTTAGATCAACATCAGTCATGAGCTGTAGGTTGCAGCAGTGACTTTAGGTCAGTTAGTTCTGGCTGGTGATGTCAAGGTAATGAAGGCAAAATATTTCCTTTTCTGGATTGCACAGAATGGTTAATATTGCTTTAACCTATGCCACAAACCTAGCCTGTTACAGCTGTGCTGCCCACTGGACAGATGTCTCATCTTTGATACTGAATTCAGGGTGGACTTGGCTGGGTTAATGGTTGGACTTGAGGATCTTACAGATCTTGGGATTAAAAAGTTGCATTATAATAGTTAAATGCCAATTTTCATTAACTACTGAAAAGACCCTACATGTTTATGTGCCAACTGTGCACAGAGTTCTTCAGCTACAATTTAACTACCTTAAACCCCAATAAAGGGGTTTATAAGGCTTCATAAAGGTAGCCCAAGACTCCATTTTATGTTAGTATTAAAATAAGTGGTTTGGTCCTTTTCTAGTGAACAGAACTGAAACAGTTCAGAAACAAATGCTCAAAAGCATCAAAATATGTATTTTAATTTTGGAAGTTTTCATAAAGTCTTGTTGTAATCAACTATGTACTAGCAAGCGAAAAGGAAAGAATCATCAAATACTAATCAAGTACTTAGTGCCAAGGTGCTTGCCACATTCAGGTACCACATCTCCATACAGTGTATGGAATAAAATACTTACTGAAAGGAGTAAGGTTAGTTCAGTCTTTATGATAAATCAGGTAGTTTGTTGTGACCAGTTGTCTTCTGAGATAGGAACTGAGATAGCACAGCAAGTATTTCATGCAAACACCCATCAGAATTAAGCTGGACTTGACTTTGGGTCTTCTGAGTCAAAGTGTTTTTCAGCCTAACTTAAAAATGCATTACTTCCAGGGCCTGGTTCATTCTGCAGAAATTAATTTGATCCATTAGCTCTTACCATTTTAATACCAATTCTGAAGAAGGAACAATACTGAGGCATAGCTTGTGTGCCTGAAATGAGTAGGTAATCATCATCCAATGAAAATATGCCCTGAAAATATGCCAGTTTAGGAGGGTGACATGAGGGCATGCAGTGGGAATAAGTACATTGTGTTTCTGGAAAGCCCCCTGGAAACGGTTTCCATGTTTTTTCCAGTTTCTTTTATTGTCATAATTGCTGTATCCTCACTGCCATTTCTTTTAATAGCTTTGCAATTTTAATTGGATTTGATTTCCAACTTCTTTTCTTCATTTGGGTCCATCTCTGTTAAGACACATAAACAGAGCAGCTGCATGTTCCGTGTGACTGTACCTGCGTGGGGAAAGGAAGATACCTCAGAAATAGAGCCACCCATCTCGAGTCCTTAATTACACAACATACAACTGGCTCGTGAACGTTGTCAAGAATGCTGCCTCACTTCTCTTAAGGGAAACAGTAACAGTTAAATACAAAAAATGTCTTCACTCAATGTTTAAAACTGTTCTGTTGATATCCTAAAGTGTTGGTCTTCTTAGGTACCCCACCAAGTAACTGAAGTGAAGTATTCTTTTCTCTTGAGAGTTTAAAATTGCTAAAATCAAAGAATAAAACAACGTCAAATAGCACCAGGAAAGCGACAAAGTTACCAAGTATTTACATGTTCACTAGCTGCTGCTGCACCACATCCTGTTGCATTTTACAATTATGCTATAAACCTTCCTTTCCACATCACCCATTATGGTTTTCTCACATAGTAACAATGACAACAGTGTACTGCTGGGGAGAAACTGCATTAAACTGCAGCAATTCAGTAGAAGGCAAAATTCCATCTGTGGCCCATTTCCAATCTAACCATCTTAAAAACCTGATTCAGTAAAGCAAGAAGGTTAGCTTGTGCTACCAGGAATCTTGGGCCCTTTTACAGTCATTAAAATTGCTTACCAAAAAGACTTTTAATGTCTTAATCAAATCTTTTTGCTTTTATTACAGAGAAATGCATAAAAACTGAGGACAAAGTTTGTAGAAAGCACATGGTCTTTTAAATTACAGTAAATCAAATTTGGGTGTAAAAACACAGAAAATTAGAACACCCCTTTACTGTGTCTGGCTGGGATGCATCTAACATTCCCCACAGTAGCCCACACTGTGCTGTGGTTTGGATTTGTGGCTTAAACAGGGATGGTAACACACAGATTGTATGATTCTGTCACTGCATAGTGCTTGCACAGTAGGAAGTTTGCAGAGAAGATGGCCAGAACAGCTGACCCAAACTAGACAAAAGGGTATTTCATGCTGTATAGTGTCATGCTCAGCAATAAAAACGGGTAGAGGGAGAAGTGCATGCATGCCAGAGGGAGGTGTCTTCCAAGGTTGCCATTCCTTGGAGACTGGTTGTGCATTGGTCCACTTGTGGGAGGTGGTGATTGCAGGGCTCTCCCCCCCGCCTTTACTTTCTAACTTACATTTATCTTGACCAAAAAGTCTTCTCAGCTTTGTTCTTCATATTTTCTCCCTCCTTCTGCTTGGGGTGCTGGTGAGCATGAGGCTCTCACCACAACCCTTTTCGTCAACAAACCAGGATTCACTGATTTAATCTCTTTCCTAACAACATCTCCATCTACAAAGAAACTTACCTAAAATCTTGTTGATAAACTGAGGTCTCCTTGATGCAGGTAAATAGACTCCCAAGAAAAAGACTGGAATTCCAGATAGAGCTATGGCAATTCCAATCAATGAATTTATAGTGTCACTGTAGAGTGGCACTACCACCAGAAAAACTGTGCATATACAGAATATTATTGGGAAAGCCACGCTCAGCTGCAGACAGAAAAAAAAAGAATGTTACTGGAATACTTGTTGTCTACAATTTACAAACAAATGTCTAATGAAAGGAAAAAGGAAAGGGAAACATGAAAGTACATGCAAGAAGATGCAGACTTTTCCCTCTCAAGCCCGCTTTGTGAAATTATCTGTTCTTTATCTTGTACATCTGGTTATTTGGAACCTATAAGCAAACTGCAGAATTATTCTTGAACAGAAGTGCTGCTAAAAATTGCAGGAGTCAAGTCTGGTAACTGTGCTATGCTGATAGAAACTGCAACAGCATGACATGTTTTTGTACAAATCCAATAAACTCAGGAACTTAGAATTACTTTTTTGGTGTGTACAGTATCAACTTAAAAGTATGAGAAGGTGTTAAGAGTGCTGATACTGAACTGAAAAACCATCAGAGCTCAACATGGTCCACACTGACAGAATTAACTAGTTTACACATTCCTAATTAGATTTCTAATCCAAGAAAGAAGGCTGAGACATTCTGCAGTTGACAGAGGGGAGGGATGCTGCCTGAAATAATGTACAATAAAAGAGTATACTATTACAACAACCACTCATCTAACAGACAAGCTAGCTTTCATTTTACAATATACAATGGAAGCCATGTTTTATGTCCTGATCAGATTTTAACCTTTAGGCATAACATGTATGATCCACATTTTAGACAGTCCTCTTACATTGTGGGGAAGACAGGGATTTGAAACAATTTTGAGATAAGTAAATATTACCTTAAGAGGCCTGGGACGATCTGGCTCCTTCCAACGTAGGTATAATTGCCCAGCAATAGACAGACCAACAAAAAACCAGTAACTGAAACTGAAGTAGTTAATAAGCTTGAAGACATCTTCTACAGCCAGGTAAATAAGGGTCATAGCACACTGTCAGGGAAGAACAAGAGTGAGATGAACAACAGAAATTTGAAACTTACTGTTTATGCTGCTTTTTGCTGTAAAGTAACTCCTTACACTCCTTAATGTTTGGCATGATTTTATGCCTCAAAAAATCACTCTCTCAGAAATCACCTTGATGACAGTAAATCTTTTTAAGGTTTTCCTTTAAATAATCATACAGCTAAGAAGAAAAGCAATAATTTCTTACATTGAAGAGCAGAGCTGGCACAGGTGTGAACCTCTCTATGTGGATCATAGACAACAGATCTGGAAGGTGACCTTCTCGAGACCCTACAAAAAATAGCCTGAAAAATAATGTCAGAAAACAGATGTTGAGACAGAATGTACTACAGAAAATCAAACAATACCAGTCAAAATAAGTATTTACACCACTGAATTTCCATCCTTCAGACTGGAACATGGATTCAACCTTTCTTGTGAAGATGCACCGTACAACAGCCATTAAAAGATATACAAGCTTTTAGAAACATGCTGTTAACACTAATTTTTAAAAAGCAATCCTAAAGGTAAAATAGAAAACATCTACAGTAACTAAAATAAGTTTCTATGATTTCAAAAAATTCTAACTAGTTCTGAAAACATTCCAGCTTATAGCAGAACAAACAACTGCAAATTTTTATGTACTAGCTGCTTCACCGTATCTTGTTCAAATTTGTTCTCAGTACAGAGGAACTGCACATAAATTCAACAGGTAGGAAGGATGTCAAAATGCCTGAATAAATCTCATTAAAATTTTCACTAGTCACATCTAGTGCTCAGAGGAAATCTTCTATACTGTATCCTAAGCTTTTTGAATGCATCTTAATAGCAGTAGCAACTTAAAGAAAATTTACTTGGAGAAAAGCTTAAAGATACTAAGATTTTTAAACGTCACTAAGTTTGAAGTAAATACATTTTATAACAAGAGCTTGTTAGAATTATTATATCAAGCAAAATGGAAGATAACTCAATCCAAATAGTCAGAAGGCCTGAGGCCTCACCACACAGACAACATTAATTTGATCTTTAATCATACTCTCCATACAGTTAGGAATACTTTGGGAAAGGAGTTAGTGGTAGTGTTAAGGATAAGAGTGAAAGGAGGCAGTGTTAAGGGTGTATGTATACACACACAGAAGTTTATTTAGGTCTTATTGTATTGTGGCTATTCATTACAGATTTGGTTACAAAAGTATTTTTGCCACTCTCACAACAGATAAGCGTAATGGTAACATGGATATTTGTCAAGCAGAAAGAGATATGCACTACCTTGATGATGCTAGAATTGAAGCATTAAGTCCACCAAAACAAGAAAAAGCTACAGCAATGGGAATTGTCCAGCTGAAGATACCGAATACCTGGTCAGCAAATGTCTAATGGAAGAGAAATGAAAAAGGAAACATGAAAATATCTGCAACAAAGCATAGGAAAAACAATGACATCAAAGCTTTTGTAGCAAGTTTGTGTGGAAAAAATAGTCCTATAAGGATAATCCATAATGCAGCACAAAGAAGCAAATGCCCTTTTTATTTATGGATTCTAAACTAGCACAAACGTATTTAGCCAAGCACCTCAACTCACATTTTCTGCTCACAAAGGAAAACAAAAAGCTTTTAGAATTTTCTCACCAATCATAATACATTTTATTATCTTAACTGAACTATAGAACTCAAGTGTAACAGTGACTATAGAGAATAAAGGACAAAAATATGACATATCCAAAGAGGAGTGCCATATAGCAGGTGATAAACATAGCCACCATCACACCAACTATTTATAGACAATATATTCCAGGAATCTATTTTATTTTCCTTCTTTTTTCCATTTCCTAAGCAACCTCTACTTCTCCTTTAGCTCCACCAGCAGAGCCTCTGGGCTCTACTCTCACAATATGGCAAATGACACAGCAAGTATCTTAGCAGTCATTTGTTAATGTTGCTAGATGATACTGCAGGCCAACTTTGGTGCTTTTCCATGGTAGAGCTCTGAAACCAAGAAGCCAGGAGCATCAAAGTTTCACAGGAAGTGGTAAGACATCCATTTCCAGAAATTTGGGACCTATACAGAAAATCAATAAAAATTTGCAGGATATTGTCCTGGTCAATTCTGTTGAGCCTCCTGAGAAAAATGAGAAAGAGACTTAGGAATATCAGACCAAATGTTTGACAAATATAAAAATTCAATACCTGAAGACTGACAGCTATTCTAGATCCCATTTTGGTCTAAGAATTGTACATGTCTGAACATCAGCATGCTTGGAATTAAGCAGAAATCCACCCATGCTGTGTTTAGAGTCTGTGGATGGAAGCCTTCTTATCCCTGTTCTACCTACTGACTACATTATTTCCCTGATTGTTTCACTAAAGCAAACTAAGAGTCATAGTAGCAAATGGATCATATCTACATTTGGCAGCATGAAATCACTATTTACAGAACAGAAGGTTTGTACAGATGTACAAGTGGTATTCAAACAAAACCCAAGGACTTCTGGGTATTAGAGTATTTTAGATTTCTGCAGGAAAAACCTGCTGA